TGAGTGAGTCTTGTGTGGGAGCGGCTGAGGGAGCTGTGGTGGGGATTTCACCTCCCTGCCTGACAGATGGTGGGGATTTCACAGCCTGGGACCGAAGCTTTTGGGGAAAAAAGTGGTTAAAAATACCCTGGGAATGAGCAATGCTCAAACGGGCTGGAAGTAACGTGGCACTTGGAGGCAGCGCTGAGCATTTCCTCCTGGAGATTCCCATCCTAATCCTAGGGCAAAGCTTCATTTTCTGGGCATTATCTTGATGCCAGGCAGTGGTGAGAAGCAGTGGCAGTGCCCTGAGCTGCTGCTATCCCACATCTGGTGGCAGCAGGGACACAGCTCCAGGGCTGCTGTGCATTCCTGGGAGATGGGGTGGATGTCACCCCCACACAAGTTCCCATGCAGGTGAAATCTCTTAATTTTGTGCATCTGATTTAAAATGTAATTTAAAATGTGCACATATCTGCAGGGAAGGGATAAAAAAGTGGAGCTTTATGGAGTTTCCTCAAGGAAGAAGAGCAAAGAAATTTTCTTCCCCTTACACAGACTTTACACAGACCTTTCAGAGTGCACTGAGGATAGAAGTGGGAGGATTTTGAGTGCAGGCTCAGGGTGATCTCAGGGAGCCTGTGACACACTCTGTCAATGACAAAACAAGTGGAGATGGTGCTGGGGGACTGATTGAAATAAGTGCTTGGGGAGCCAGGGTGTGAGACAGAGCTCCCCTGCCTGTACCTGAGCCTGATGGAGCGCAGCAGCTCTCTGTCGGGAGAGAGAAACTCGCTCTTCCAAGCCAGTGGACTGCAAAGATTACTGAAAATAAATGGAATACGTTTCTTTCATGTGGAAATAGTGCTGCAGTCCCTGTACAGAGAGATTTATCAAAGGGACCTCTGTGCTCCAGCAGTGGGGCTGAGATCACAGCTCGCTGCAGATGTGAGTTGAACTGACTGAGTCCCACTTTCCACAGCTCTGAGTAACCATTGTGCAGTGTCCTGAACCCCACACACCAGCCCTGCTCCCAGGCTGGCCTCACACAAGGCCAGAACTTGCACAGCAAATAAGTTTTTATTTAAAAATGAATTTTCTGGCCCCTGGAAATCCCCCAGTGAAGCTGGCTGTGTGGGCTCTGCACTGGGAACTCCAGTGTGGGATGCTGGAGGGCAAACAGAGCCCTCCAGTTCCCTGGAGAGGATGCTCCAGTGGCCATGGAGGTGTTGGAGATGGATCCACCAGCATTTGCCTGGTTTTGTTTCCTTTTTCAGCTGGGATGTTCCATCCTGTTATAACAGAGATGATTTTATGTATATTCAGATGATGCAACAGTTTGGGGTGTTGTGATTTTTGTAGATGTAGATGACAGCTCTTTTGTGAGAATCTGGTACTTTGGGACTGAGTGCTCAATGGGATTAGACTTCTGTGTCTGTTTCTTCATTAAAAGAATAGTGATTTATTCTTCATAAAAGATATTTATTACGCACTGGGAGTGTCTGGAGCAGGACCTCGAATGTGTTTGCCTGGAACCAGAAAAACAGAAAAACCCCGCTGACCTTGATGAGGTACTGAAGGCAGCTGGGTCTGGCTCATCAGCCCCATATTTGATCTCAAAATAACAAATTTCATTTAAAAACACTCCTGCACAGAAAAATGGAGATCTGGGAAGTGGAGAAGGTCTTGGTTGAGGTCCAGCCTGCAGGAATGCTGTGAAGGACTCTTGCTTTGGGGCCTCACTTGACTCCTGGTGTTTGCTCAGCCCCTTTCCTCCGCCAGCCAAGTCCCCCTGGGAGCTCTGCTGCCTGCCCTCCCCTTTTTTTTCATAATATACTGGAGTGTGAAGAATTGACTCTTAAAATGCCTCTTGGCAAATTCCATTTATGCATTGATGAAATGTCGAGCCCATCCTACGATTGCGACTTCCCCGCCCATCCCAGCCAAACTGGGACGCTTGTTCCACTGGCTGGGGATCCTAAAAGCCAACAGGAGATGGAAGGGGGAAAGGAAAATGAGATCTGGGGGAGGGAAAAGGGTTGACACTGGTTTGCTGGCATCCTGCTGGGCTGTGTTTTCACAGGGCTGTTTCTCCCCGGGGAGCTGCCAGATGTGATTTTTTTGGGACAGGCTGGGAAAGCTGTGGGTGCAAAGCTCTGAGAAGAAACTCAGGAAAGGGGTCTGCAAGAAAGCTGTGGGGCTGCAAGAAATTTTGGGGATGTCTAGCCCTGAACCCTGCAGAGAACAGGGTTTTTTGTAGTAGTTTTTTGTGGACATGTCCTTTGCCTTCTCACCCTTAAGGAAGGGGCTTCCTGACTCTTCTGGACCTTCTGCTCTCTGGCTGGAGCATGGACTTGCAGAGAATTCAGGGGTGTGGTTTAGGTACTTTCAAAGTGAATTATTTTAAAACCAGCACTATTATAAAGCTGTTTCTGGAGGTTTTGTTTTGTTGGTTTTTTTTTCAAGTGAGAAAGGAGCACTTGTGCAATACTTCAGGCTTTTTCTGCATTTCCAAGGGCATAAAAACTCAGTTAATGAGTAATTGCAAGGTTTGCAGGACTGAAGAAAAATGCCAGGGAGGAGGTTTTTTCATAATGTTGGAGACTGGGCAGCTTTGGACTGGGTCCTGACTCAGAGCACTTGTGGTGGATCCACCAGCTCCTGTCTGGGTCCCCCTCCCCCTCAGTTTGCAGGCTCTGGAGTGGGAGCAGGGTGGGAGGGAGAGGTGCTTTTCCCTCTGGATGCACAAAGGACAGGGCTGGCCTGAAGCACAGCAGGTTTGTCTCTGTGAAATCTCCTCCTTTAGCAGGAACCCCTGCAGGAATCCTCCTTGAAGGGCGGATTGTGAACTGCAGAGGCATTTGGCTGGATCCCAGTTGATTTGAGCAGGGAGCTCAAACTCATCCCCTTGACTCTGCTCTGTGTGGGACAGGGTCTAGTGGCCAGGGGAGGGGACAATTGTGTGATGCCATCCATATCCTCTGTGTCCCTCACTGGGGGCCCTGACAGAGGGGTGCACCAGCCTCTGTCTCCCATGGGGCATGTGCTGGGGGCACCTCTCCCACCTCCTCAGCTGATTTGGGACATTAAAGGGTTTCACTGTCCCTTGCAGGAGCGCTGGGCACACCCCCTGCCTTGCTCTGGTAGTGATGGGCTTGGCAGTGCTGAGTTAATGGTTGGGCTGGATGATCTCGGAGGTCTTTTCCAAGCTCAGTGATTCCATGGACCTGTGATTTTAATGTGCCTCTCCTTGCTCAATGGCTCACAGAAGAGCAGTTATCCTTCAGAGATAACTGAACCTTCACCACCTCATCCCCCTGCTCTGGCAGCTCATCAGTTCTCACCTGGATGAGGGGGAGAGTTTAAAAAGCAAGGGAGGGTTCAGAGCAGGAGCCCTGGATGGAGGGAAGGAGAGACTGACCAGGGCAGGGATGTGGCCAGGGATGCTCAGCTTTGGGATTTGTGTTTTCACAGTGCCAGGGACCTTCAAAATGCAGGGAAAAGGCAGTGCTGGAGAACCTGGAAGCAGCTAAAATGGGATGCAGCCACTTGGGCTGGCAGGTGATGCTGGAGAAAGCTTTCTGGAAGCAGAGCTCTGTGCTGGGAGCTGTTCATTCTGTGAAGGCTCATCATGAGCTGCAGCAGACACTTCTAAAAGGTCTAAAAGGGGGTAAAATGGCCCAAAACCCATTTGACTTCAAGCACTTCTCTCTTCCCAGATGCTTTTCCGTTCTACCTTGCCAGAGCAAGGCTTGTGAGGAGGGAAGTCAATGAAAATGAATGGCAGCAAGTTCCTCGTGGTGGGAGCCGTCTGGAGAACAAGCAGGTCTTTAGATTCTTGTGGTTTTCCTCTGTTCTATTTCTAGGTCAATCAAATCCATTTTTTACCCTGTTCTGCTCCGAAACATAAATGAGTAAATGAGGTAACAAGGGCACACTTAAGGAAAAATGAAGCATGACTATAAATACGAGTGACCCAAGTGGAAGGAAGGTCAGATAAGAGACATTACCCAGTTATGTTCATAAAGGGTGCCAGGCTGGAATTTAGAATCCTGCTTTAGGATTAGGAAAACAGTTGGAGGGCTTGTGGAGAGAGATAAGAGATGCAAGATATGGGGAGGGAACATTTTCCTTCCCATTCTTTGCAGAAGGTGAAATGAAAGAGGGTTTTTGATACTGATGATTATCTGTGATGTGTGATTATCTTGGAATTTTGGGGAAAAAAAACCCCAAACATTTGAGGGGGAAAGGAAGGAGCTGAACCCTCATGGTGCTTCTGTTTGTGGAAGGCCAGTGCTTCAGAAAACAGAAATAAGTTGGAGACAAGAGACAAACGCCCTGCTTGTGGGACTGGGAAGGAGTTTCCTGCAGAGCGGTTGGATGTGCTGGTGTTTTCCAAGGCTTTGCTGCCCTGGCCCCAGCACGTTCCTGCCTCTCACTGTCCCTGTTCCTGCCTGTTCCCCTGCCTGGGGCTCCCCACGTGTTCCTGCCAAGCCTGGAAATGCATCCAGGTGATGGCAGGGAGAAAAGGCAAGACAGAGAAATTCCTCTTTATGGCAGCAACCAAGAGAATGGGGATTTATCTTGGAGATTAACTGGGCTGCTCTTCTCAGTTTGCTTTTCCTGCCACAAAATTCAGTTCTGTGAGCTCAGAGGCTGCTCCACAGATCTGCAGAGGGTGCAGTGATAAAGCTGTTCAAATCCCCTTTTGGGTTTGGGAGAGACGGTGGTAATTCCCCTGGAGATGAAGTTTATTTTTCTCCATTAGTACCTGGTTTTGAAGAGTTTCCTTTCTTCTCCTTGCTCAAGGCTGGGCTTTCAGAAAAGCCTTTTCTGGAGGAGACTTAGTGTGTGCACACACCACATGAAGTCAACAAGGGCACAACTTCAAAGTGAAGCATGTGGATAAATATTATCCTGACTTGAGGCTACTATTTATTCTTTTTCTTCCAAAACAAAACAAATTCACACATGCCTTCTCAAGGCTTGGAATTAATGTATTTTAATTTTTTTTTACCACTGTGTATTCACTCTGCTTTGCTGGGATGATCACACCTCATCTGCCTCTCCCAGGTGGGTGAGGTTTACAAACATTTCAGCAGTTTTTGAATATTGAGGGGAAGATAGTGTAGCCAGGGCCAAAAACCTCCACTTCTAGGCTCAAAATTCTCTGTTCCTGTTTGTGTGGTTTCTGTGGGTCACCAAGATGAGATGGGAGAGCACAGGAAGATTGGAACCTGAAATTTGGAGGATTGGGAGGTACTTGGCTCAGGGTTCAGCTGACCATGAGTTGTGCCAGTACTGAGTAGGATTTATTCCCTAGAAGTGCCTGCAACAGGCAAATCCCTGCATCCCAGGTGTCCAAAAGGAGCCACTTTCACTGAAAATCAGCCTGGTTAATTCTGTCTCAAGCCTCAGGACCAATTCCTGAGGCTCCAGATGATTCCTGGCTGTGGGATCGCCATCCCAGCTGCGTCTGCTCCAACCCCCTGTGCAGGGGAGAGCCTTCATGCATAGGAAATAATCAAATAAAACCACACCATCAAATGTTTTATGTATGAGGAGGCATGGGGCTGTCAATAATCTTCCATGTTTTTTAATGCCAGCTCTCCCGGCGTCGCTGCTTGCGGCTGATGACACCAATTAATTTTATTGTTTGGAAATAATCTCGTGTGCCGTGCGATTTGCACGGCCTCAGCCTTATGCTTTCTAATGATTTCTCTATTAATTTCACTGCTGCCAATAAGCTGGAGATGTCTTTCAAGTGGAAAGAGAAACATGACCTAATACCATGGATAAAATATTAGCCAGAGCAAATTAAATCCCTGTTAGCAGTGGTGGGACCCTGGCCCCTAAAGACACAGGAGCTGCTGGAGCATGGCAGAGAGAAAAGAGCTGCACATGCTGCATGTGGATGCATGAGTGTGGAGCAGTGAGCTTTTGAACAGCTTTAAAATTAATGGAGAACCAGTGTTTTTTGTCCCCTCCCGCTCCAGCTGGCTTTTCCCTGGTTCAAAAAGAGCTGACATGGAGAAATTCAATGTCTGGGCCTCCCTGTGGGATAGAAACACTGGGGCTGAGCTTGCCTCTCTGGATGGCAGGTTATGCTTTGCCTTTATTCCTGTTTTTTGGTATGAATTTGGGTATGGTGAACTCCTTGGCAGTGCTGTCTTTGTCACCTCATATCCACCTGGAAGGATACATGGAGGATCTCCCCAATCTGCAGGAAAGTGCCATTAATTTTCCTGGTTTTCAGCATCACAAGCCTCAAACTGTCCTCAAACCTTGTCTTTTTGTCCACCCACCTAGCAGAAATCCCCAAGAACAAGGCTTATATACAAGATTTCCAGCACAAACTGTGTTTTTTTGACTTTGGTACTAGTTATCTGTGAGTCCTTTGCATCACCTGAGCCCTGAGAAGTGGCCTTGGAGCAACCTGAAATACCAGAAACTGTCTCTGCCCAGGGGATTAGAATGAGATGGGCTTTAAGATCCCTTCCAACCCAAACTATTCCATGATTTTATAGTGAAATTACCCTCTTTCAGCCTTTGGAAGAACTCTGTATTCATGGTGTGGCTGGGGCTGACTTTCTTCATCCATTTCCTTGTGAGAGGAAAAAAAATATTCCTGTAATGGGCAAAAACATCACCCCATCAATATTGCCTAAGTGGGGAAAAAAAATCAATTCAATTTACGGCCAAAATATTTATGTGATGATTTATATAAACACCCAGATATTTATTGCTTTAATGTTTTAGTCTCTGTGCTGTGAATTTTTTTTGCTTCCTGCATAAATGAGTTGGTAATCAAGTATATGGAGCTGAGGGCTGGAGAGAGATGAGGGGTGAAAATTTGGGCAAGAGCTGGTAGTTTGCAGTGGGGAGGATGGAGCCAGGACAGCAGGATCAGAGCTTTTCTTTCACAAGTTTCTCATTAGATTAAAATCATGAGGCCTTGGGGTTCTGTGCTGGGGTAACCTGTGGGGCATTTCAGTAATTTCATATTTTCCTCCCCCCTCCCCTTATTTTTAATTGTGCAAACAGAATAAACCCCAGGTTTTTACACGAGTAAATGGTCGACAGTGTGGGCAGGAAGAAAATAATACAGAAAATTCTGTATAAAATGGTGTCAGGAGCTGAGGTGGGCCCAGTCTGTGGTGCTGCTGCTGCTCAGGAAGGAATTTTGGCACTGCTGGTTTTGCATTCCCAGTGCCCCACAGACACTTCCAAGGACAGGACTCCATTCCAGAGAAATCCTCGAGGCCCATCCTGCTCTGGGAGGTCTCCAGGAGGCTGCTCCATCCCTCAGGATGATAACATGCAGGGATCAAAGTCTGAGTGTGAGTTTGTGCTGGCCTTGGCTGGCTCAGGGTTGGAGAGGGTGACTGAGCACAAATCCATTCCAGCTCTGCCCTCACAGGGAAACTCACTGAAACTCTGTCCCTGCCCTTCTGAGTCACAAATTAACTGAAAATTTGATTTTTTTATTCCCTCTTTGCTCTTTTAAAAATAAAAAAAGCAAAACTGCTCAAAGAATTTGGTTGTCAGCAAAGGCAAAAAAGGAAAAAAAAAACCACACAAAACCCCCCAAAGTGGCACCCACCATCTCTACTGCCAGGGCAGACCCAAACCAGCAGAACGAGTTGGGGTGGCTTTTCCTCCTGTTGCAGGGAGCTCTGGTTCATAATTAATAGTTTTCCAGGCTGATTTGTGCAGGGAGGACAATGAGGACATTGAAAGCAGATCCCTGCTGGCCTCCCGGAGCCTGAGCCCTGGGCCTGCTCCAAACCCCTCACACGGCCCAGGCCGGACGGCCCATCCCACCTGGCAAAAAACCCCTTTAGAGAGACAGGATTAAATCACAGAGTGACATTTCCCCCTCCCTGTGATGCTTTCTTTGCCTTTATCTCCCTGATGGACTCTAATCTTCTGATATTATAAGAAGTGAGGAAGAATGGAGCTCTTGGCCTTTTTAAATATGTATGAACTTCTTGGGGAGATGCGAAGCGACGGGGACAGATCGCAGCCGTGTCATTACCCAGGCGTGGGTGTCTCTTTTCCCCCTGTCCCAAGTCATTATTCACAGGCAAACCATAATGTTTCTGCTCCTTTGCTTATGGATTATTATTATTTTTCAAGAGAAGGCCACAGATGACAGAGAGCTGATGGTGGAGCCTCTGGCTCACCGGGGTTTTTGGCTGCTGGCAAACCAAGCTGTTTTCTGTTGCTTGGCAGGGTCAGGCTGGGGCCAGGAAAATTGAGTTTTAATCCTGTGATTTTGGTGATAAACCTGCACATTTTTATTTGTTGTGCTGGTCAGGTTTGGTTTCCGAGAGTTGGGTTTGTTTGTCCCATGCTGTCACTCAGATTTATCCCTCTAGGTGAATGTGGTGGGATTTCTCTGGGGTAAATGACTTTGTGTGTTATTCCTAAATACTGATATAACCCATGGATATGTGGATTAGCTGTGACAGGATCCGTTCCTCATGCACTCACAACACAACAAAGGAACTTCCTTACTGTCATAGCAATGGTTACAGCAGAGCAAGGGGATTTCTCATCTTACTTAATTCTCCAGACAAACTCTTAATTGAAAAAATTGTGGCTGAAATGCAGCTGATAGATTTGTTTAAAAAACAAATTATTTGAGATTAATTTTTAAAATTATTTTTACATAGTGTATTCTGTCTTCATTTAAAAATACATTTAATCTGGTGAGCTTTTTATTCTAAGGGCTGGGAAGTGTGTAGAGATACAGCAGGAGAAACCTTACTCATGTCCCATTCTCCTTCCTTCCCACTGGGCTGCTGTAGCATCCCCCAAAATGAATAATTCAGCCAGCAGTACCACTGGGATATCTGAGAAGGTCACATAAATGAGGTGACACCCACTTTTTATCATCCCAGAAGGTCACATGGAGGTGGTGACACCCACCCTTTAACAGTCCTTGGACATCACAGCTGTGAAGGTTATTACTGAGGGGAAGAGTTAAACCTTGGGATGAGTTTTTTGCTCCATGAGGCCTCTCCATGCAAGTGTTTTGCAGGGTTAGGGCTTCTGGAGTTTGAGATGTGCACCACATCTACCAGCATGGATTTGTCACTGTAACACGCCTGGCATGAATTGATTTTTGTTTTTGCAGGACAAGGGAAGCTGATGAGGGTGGGAAAAAGAGGAAGACAGGCTGGGATGGATAGGATTTGCTTTCAGGGAAGGCTCTCCTCACCCAGAGGGTGATGGGGTGAGATGTTCCTGTTTGCACAGGGATTGTGTCTGTTACTATTTGATTTTCTTGGGTTCTTCAGGCTCTGGACCATGGAAAACATGGCAGTCATTGGCTTTCAGCCTCCTCTCCAGGGCAGGGGATCAATACAGCTCAATATGGGGTTCAGCCTGTGGTTTGTGCTTTTTCCAGAAGGACTTGGGGGAGAAAAGATGCCATTTAAAGAAAATTACTGCATTGCCTATCAACTGAAAAAAAGTCTTTTGTCCTGTCAATCATGAGGAGGCTTTATCTTGTCAATCACAGGAAAAATGCTTTCCTTGCACTTCTGCCAGGCTTTGCACAGAGTGGGTTTTTCCTTCAGTCAAACAAGCAAGTTTTCTTGTTTGGGCACGGTAGCTTCTAATAAAAAAATACATAAAAATTACATAAAAAAGAAATCTTAATGTTTTATCAGCATTTAGACTTGAGAGCAGGTGGTGATGCAGGTCACAGGGCAGATCTTGGGGCTGCTTCTCCAGCCCCTGGGGGCTCAGGAAGGAGGGAAGAGGCTGCAATTTGATCCCAGGAGGAAACCACAGGAACACCCCAGGGTGTTTGCAGAGCCCAGATAGAGCTGCTGTCACTTGAGCAAGACTCACCTGACTCTGGTCACAGACTGGGCTCTGTGGCTTCTTCTGAATCATCGAGGCTTTTGTTTTGTTCATGAGAGTGAAAGACATTTTCCTTTCCCTTTCCACTTCCTTTCCTTTTTGCACAGTGGTTTTCCTCCTTGTGCTATGCTCCACAGATGGGATTTCCTTGTGTTTTTTCTGGGAATAAATGCACTTCCAGGAGCCTCTCTGTCCATCTATCAGTGTACTTCCAGGATCCTGTCTGTCCATCCATCAGTGCACAGCCTGGGTGATGGCAGCAGTGTCTGGGCTTCACAGAGATGCTGCCATGCTGCTCTCTCTTCTCCTGCCACAGGAATACTCCTGCTCAAGCTGGACACCCAGCTAAACTCCAGGAGTTCGGTTCACATCATGCTGACAGCACAGCTGGAGCTCCCAACCCCTCACTGCCACTCACAGGAATCAGGATCCCTGATTCCTCTCCAGCCCTGGGGCTGTGGTGGAGGTCTCCCCACTCATGTCAAGGTTTCAAGAGCTTTAAAGCAGTGTTGAGTGGGCTGTGTCAAAGCTGGGGCTGTTGTTGTGGAGCAGCCACGTGGCTGGGGGTGTGTGGGTGCCAGCCCTGGGCTGGGGGCCATCTGCTCCCTTCCTCCAGGGCTGGCAAAGGCTTTTTCCTGCAGGATAAAAACGGTGTCAGGAACTGGTATCATTGTTCTCCCATTTCCCCTTGCAGCCAGCTGAAGGAATAAAGCTGCTAGGTTTGTGAAGCAGCCGTGTGGAGTTTCCATCCTCTTGGTCCCTCTGTGAGCAGGACACCCAGATATTGCTGACACTCCGTGGCAGGGCTTTGATGGGGAGGAGGCTGTGGTGCATTTGGTGATGGTCCCTTTGAAGCCAAGCTGAAAGTCTTGGTAAGCAGGGACATCTCTGTAACAGGGGAGCTGAATCCTCCCTGTTGAACTTTTACCTGTAAGCTTTTTTCTTTTTGCAGCTCAACTTTGTTTCCACAGCTCCCACTTTGGATGCTGGAGCTGCTGGTTGTGCTTTTTCAGGAGCAGCTCAGTGGGGAGGGCGAGCTCAGGATACTCCATCCCCATCACCCAGACTGGAAGATGATGGGGCTGATGGATCCAGAGCCAGGGATGCAGTTCATGCCCTGGGAAAACACAGCATGCTGGTGTTGCCCTGCATCCTGAGGTGATGCTCACGCTCTGCTCTGTTTGCTTTCTCTGCTGGCAGGCTCTCTGGGGTTTTACATCAGCTCTGGGTTTTACCCTTCTTCTGTTGCTAAAATTATTGATTTCCAGAGCATGGAGTAATCAGGGGTAGCTGCTGTGTGTGCAGGAGCAGAGAGCAGGGACCAGTGCTGGTTAGGACCCACCACCTTCTTTTAAAAAACCTGTCTCATTCCCAGATATTCTCCAAATTCTCCAACACATCAGTATTTTATAAACCCCAGCCCTGGAGAGAGCTGCAGTGTGAGGAATCACTGGGTGGTTTGGAGAGTCCTTCCCTGGCACCCACCTGCTCCCATTCAGCATCCCCGCTCTGTGGACATGGTGTGTCTGTGCCAGACAAGGACAGATGGGACCTGGCACTGCTTTTCACTCCCCTGAATGCAGGAGATCTGTCTTAGCCAGGCTTTTCTTAACAGAAGACAAATAGGAGTCACCCTGGTGGTTTTTCATACCAGTCTTTTGTTTCTTTCCCTTCTGAACTATAACAAAAGCTTCAGTGCGCTGGGACTGGCAATGAGTTTTGCTCTTATTTTCCATGTAACTCACCTCTGGAGCACGTGTGTGCCAGCAGCCACATGCAGGAGAATGGCCCCGGGGCTGAATTTGCATTTTTGATACAGAAATTCAAATTACTTCCATACATCAAGTGATTCCAGTGGTCAGAGGATCACTCCTTATCAGGGGCTGTTGGGATCCTTGGCTGCCGAGCCTCACCAGCTGCAGATGCTAAAATGTTTGGAAAGCTGGCAGAAATAACCCCAAATAATCCCCAGATGGGATGTGTGCCTCTGGAAGTGGCTGTGTCCTCAGCCATGGAGGGGTTTGATCCCCACATGAAGGGATGTGTGTGAAGCCTCCTGGGCACTGCTTTCATCCCTGATTGCACCTTCTTGTGAGTTTATTCAGTTATTATCACAGTGTTTTCTTGGAGAGAAACAATGTCTGAGCTGATTGCTGTCAGCCAGGCTTTGTGTTCGGTTTTTAATCTTTTGTAATAGTGGAAGTGGATGGTTTTATATCCCTCGCTTTTCTTCCTCGAGTATCCCAAAGCTCTTTGTGGAGGCAGTGCCAGGGCTTGGAGAGGCAGGGCCTTGGCACAGCCAGGAGCAAGAGCAACCCAAGCACCAGGAGATGTCTTGAGAAACACCAGGAGATGCCTTGAGGTTTGATTAACAAAGAGTTTTGTCTCTGCCCATGGAGCTGAGGCTTCCAAAGAAGAGCAGATGGCATTGAAAGCATCTTCGTGGTGACAGCCAGGCCTTCTGCAGGGCTGGCTGCAACAGGAGGTCACACTTGGATGATTTTCAGGTTTTTGGGGCAATGTTTGCAAGTTGTGTTTCTCAGCTGTGTGTGCTCCTGTTGATACAGAGCGCTACAGAGCTTCTTACCCACTGCCCATCCACCCTTTTTGTATTGAAACAGGAGATGTGTTGTGACATTCCCAGTGATGCTGGGTGAGGAGGTGGGTGTGGTGTTTCTCCAGCTGCACTGGGCTGGGAAATGACATTTGCCACCCCCAAAGCCCGAACCTCGAGGGAGATGAGGCACCCTTGATGAGGGGAATCTTCAAACTGCAGCAACACAGGGTAGAAAGAGCCAGAGGGAAGAGAGATCCTGCAGGAGATTGCAGTTTGCTGACTGAGCCCATGATTTGTTTGGGAGTTGTGGCTCATTGCAGTTGCTGTTCCTTTCCGTGTCCAACCCTCTCCTGCCCTCCTGCTGCTTTCCAAGAGCCTTTCCTGCCTCCAGTCACTGGGACACTCATTGCCCACATCCAGAATTGCTGCTCAGCTCATCCCCCTCCAACAATGAGGAGCTCCCGTGCAGCATTTGCTGAGGAGGAGAGGACTGAACATCTTCCCTGGCTTTCTTTGGAGGAGGAAGGTAAAATAGACCAAAAAAAAACCCCAGAAAATCAGCTCCTTGTTCAAATTCCCTGTTTCCTCTGCCTCGTAACTTGGGTTTTGGTAATTGCTTTAATCTGCACTTGGGGTTTCCTGGCAGGAGAAGGATTTTTCAGTGACTGTCATTTCTTTGTTACTGGTTGTTTCCAAACTCATTACTCCTGGCATTTATTCACCCAGGCTGGAAGCAGCTTGCACCAG